CCACCTCGTGGCGGTGGGCACCAGCAGCAGCAGCAGCAGCAGCATCAGCAGCAGCAGCAGAGTCACGCACATTTACATCGACGGGCTGCACCAGGGGTCCGCCCCAGCCTGCTGCAGCGGCCCTTTGGCTGTTATTGGCAACGCCAATTTGCGGCAGTACCGCAGCAAAGCCCCAAAGCCCCCAGACTTGCTCAGCAGCAGCAGCAGCAGCAGCAGCAGCAGCAGCAGCAGCAGCGAGGACGAGGGCGACCCGGGGGAGTGCCGCATGCCGTTCGGTGCGCTGTTCAACTTTGAGGTGTACAGACACCCCCTGACCCCCAAACAAGTCCAAAATTTATTTCAAAAAAACAGAAAGCTTTTCCGACTTAAACACGCCAGTCACTCCAACACAAAGACAAGCTCCCAAACAGACAAATCGCTCAAAAACTTCGTTTGAAGCACACAAAGCCAGCATCCCCAAGGGGCCCCCAGGGACCCCACAACATCCCAGCCACAGGGGGCCCCCAGGGGAACCCCCACGAAGGTTCTAGGGCTCCCCATAGCTCCCTGAGCACAGGGACTCTACAGGAGGGTTCAAGGGCCCCCACAGTCCCACGAGCCCAGCGGCCCCCAGGAGGCCCCCAAGGGGGGCCCAAGGTCACCCGCATCCTTCCGAGCACAGGGCCTCCTGGGGGGCCCCAGCGGCCCCCCAGGAGGCCCTACGGGGTCCCCAGGAGGCTCCAGGGGGCCCCCAAAGGAGTTCCAGGGGCTCCCAGGGGTACCCCCGGCCCCCAAAGCCTCGGGAGCCCCCGGGGGCCCCCATAACCCTATAACCCTCCGAGTCCAGGCGGCCCGAGGGGGCCCCCCAGATATTAAGAGGGTTTGAGGGGCCCCTAGAGCTAGAAGAGCCCAGGAGGCTGTAGGGGTTCCCTGCTGTTGCAGCTGCTGCTGCAGCTGCTGCTGCTGCAGCTGCTGCAGAAAAGGACTGGGAGGGCCTTCAAGGGGCCCCTAAGGAGACTTGCTGGGGCGCTTGCTAGAGGAGAACTTAACATTTGTGGCATTATTTGATGCTCTTCAATTCCATTTTTGGAAAATAGTCTTCACTTCTTTGAATTCAATACACACGTTTCTCATTAGTTCACATGCTAAAAGCCTCCTTCACCGTTGGGGTCCCCATGGGGTCCCATAGAGATCTCCACTAGAGGTGCTTGGGTGCCCCCCTTAGCACTTCTTGGGGGCCCCCCTTACCGCTGCTTGGGGGCCCCCTTACCGGTTATTGGGCCCCCCCCATTAATATTCGGAGTGCCTGGGGGCCCCCCATTAGTATTCGGAGTGCCTGGGGCCCTCCCATTACTATTAGGAGTGCCTGGGGGCCCCTGTAGCTGAGCTCTAGACCCGAGGGCCCCCAGCTCGGGGTTCCCTCAGCTGCGTGGCCAGCAGCAGCAAAGCCTTGTGCAGCTTCTGTGATGCTGCTGCTGTATAGCTTTCTGCTGCAGAAGCAAAAGCAGCTGTGGGGGCCCCTCGAAGGGCTAGGGGGCCCCCTAGAGGGTTAGGGGGCCCCCCAAAGGATTAAAGGGTTCCCCAAAGGGGCCCCCTAAAGGTACGGGTCCCCCTGACGAATTAGGGGGCCCCTGCAGAAGTCCCTTTGGCTGCTCTTTGGCTGCTCTTCATGGGCATTTTGCAGGCGCAGCATAGCCCCAGAAGCTCAACAAGAATACCCTATACCTGCTGCAGCAGCAGTGCTGCTGCAGCAGCAAAAGGGTCCCCTAGTCAAGGTAGGCCCCCTCAGGCGGCCCTCTCGGGGGCCCTTCTTGAGGTGGGTTAATAAAGCCAGGAGAGGGGCAGGAGGACCACTTCGCCTTCATAACTTCTGTTATTTCTAAAGATAACTCCCCAATACTAAGTTCTCTTCAAGTGCCCCCTGAGGCGCTTAAAGGGGCCCCCTGAGGCCCTTAAAGGGCCCCCTGAGGCCCTTAAAGGGGCCCCCTGATGCCCTTAAAAGGGCCTTGGGGCACCTAGAGAGGCCCCCTAAAGCTCTTATAGGGGCCCCCTGGGTTTCTTAGAGGGGCCCCCTAAGGCTCTTAGAGGAGCCCCCTAAGGCTCTTAAAGGGGCCCTGAGGTTCTTGAACTTGTTTGAATTCAAAAGCAGCCTTTAGGGTATCTCTCTGTGCATCCTTATCCCTTAAGCAGCGGCAGCAGGTCCGTACGGCAGCAGCAGCAGCACGGCCGTTTAGCAGCAGCAGCAGCCCTGCCCAGCAGCTGAAGGAGCAACTGCAGTAGCAGCAACAGCAGCACCAGCAGCAACCACAGCACAAGAAACTTGCGTTGCGTTGAGCGTTTAAGAAAGTAAACCGCCCAGGCCTTGCTGCCAGCCATTAGCTTGGTTTGCTGCCGTTCCTAAAGGGGGCCCCTTGGGGGCCCCCCCTCGGGGGGCCCCCTGCGGGGCCTCTGGCGCCTCTGAGGCAGCAAATCCCCATCTATGGGCACATGCAGCTCTGCTGCTGCCGCTGCTGGGGGTTCGCCTCTGTGGAGGTAGCCCCGGGCCCAAGAGGAAAGAGCAGCAACAGCAGCAGAAATGCCATAAGCAGCAGCAGCAGGCAGCAGCACGAACCGCAGCAGCAGCAAAGGCAGCAGGCACGGGGGCGACCGATGCAAATCAGCGAACATAGACGTGCGGTAGTGCGCCTTCTTCCCTGCAGCAGCATCAGCAGCAGCAGCTGCTGCTGCTGCTGCCTTTGGGGCTTCCACTGCGTGCACCTGCTGCAGGGCCTCAATCAGCAGCGGCAACAGCGCTGCAGAACAAAACACAAAGCCCACGCGGGGGCCCCCAGGGGTCCCCTTGGCGGGTTCCCAGGGATCCCCCTGGGGGACCCCCCTAGGGGGCCCCTCTCCCAGTACCCTTCCCCTCTCAGGAGGCCCCGGGGGCTCCCCTCCCAAATATTCTGCATAACCCTCTCCTTCAGCCTGGGCTGGTGACGGGGCCCCCTGTGCCGCGGGGCCTCCCGCTGAGGGACCCCGGGGCCCCTCTTGCTGAAGGGCCTCCCCAGGGGGCCCCAAGGGGTCCCCCGAGGGGCCCCCACAGGAGCCCCCTGGGCCCTTTGGGGGCCCCCCAAGCCCCATTCGGGCTTCTGCGTCTTGAATTGCATTCCAGATATTTGCTGCGGCACAAGAGGCCCTCTCTTCCAGCAGCACTTGGTAGCCTGCAGGGAAGAGCTCCTTTTGCTGCTGAGCCCACTGGGGGGCCCTCCAGGCGCCGGAGGTTGGGGGCACCCCCCCAAGGTACTGGGGGCCCCCCCGGGAGCTACTGGGGGGCCCCCCTCTCCTCGGATCTGGGGGCCCCCAAGCCCAGCGAGTCCCCAGGGCCTCCAGCACGCAGCGCCTGAAGGCCCGCAGCTGCGTCGCCTGCAGCAGCAAACACTCTTGCAGCCTTCTTGCTGTTGTGGTTTTACTTCGGTCTATCGCATAAACGAGGGGCCCCGGGGGCCCCCCCGGGGGCCCCCGGGGCCCCC